CAGGAGGGGACCTCAGCCAGTTTGGGCAAACCACCTCCCCAGGCATCACCTGGTGAACAAGGCTCCGGCATTTACCAGTTCCCATGGCACTTGTAACAACAACAGGTTAAAGAAATCAGTTTTATTTAGAGAGAAGGGACTCATCTTAAAACTTTTAACGAAGTTCTTTTAAAACACAGTGGATAATGCACCATACTGTGCAGTACACTCCTGCACTGGCAGAGGCTCCCATTGCCCTCATTAGCAAAGTTTTATCCTTTGCAAAATGCAGGCTTGCTCCCCCCTTCCAGAGGTTACTGCCAGGAGCGTGGCTTCTCCCCCCTCCCTCCCACCCATCCCCTGGCTGAGGACCTGCCCTCCGACACCCAACCCCAGCAGCAGCCCTGTGGCAAACACAACCACAGCTGAGGAAAAGCAATGCCAGAGAAACACATTCTCAGCTCCACTTTGCAATTTAAATTAAGGAGAAGGACCCAAGCAGGCAGCTCCTTGCTGCTGCTCTGTGTGTGGCTGCAGGTCCCTGGCTCTGATCACCAGCACTGGTGATATTGCTGCAGTCCTCCATGCTGGCATGGGACTGATGGTGAACAACACTGAATCAGCCTGTGATATTGTAAAAATATCATAGCTGAGGCTACAGTGAGTTTCTTTTGCTGGCCCAGCACCTGGGGTGCCGTCAGCCTCCTGGCTAAAGTACGTAGAAGTCATTGTTGTTTGACAGGTCGCTGTAATGGCAGAGGGCGAGAGCAGGAGCCTGTGCCGGCGGGGGCTCAGGTCGACTTCTGCCCTGAACCCCCTGCACCGCAGGCCTGCCTGAGCCTGGCTTGCAGAGATGATTGTCCCACCTGGGCTCAGCCACAGCCCGATGCTTGCGCTTGAGTCTGCTGCCACCATTGCAGTAGGTCCCACAACACTGGCACGTCAAGAAGTGTTTGGCTCGGTGTTTGGCCTTTGACTCAGGGGATGGGGCCATCCCTCCGGGAGCCAGAGTCCCTGCCATGGTGCCCTGTGGGTCAGGCTGCCCTTTCAACCGGCTCCTTCTCCTCTGGACAGGGTCCAGGCTGATGTCCGATTGGGAGGAGCAGCTCTCATTCCAGCTGGCACCAGCACTCAGGCTGCGCAGCGGCAGGGCAAGTCGCAGCGCCTTCCAGAACTGGGACCCAGAGCGCTTGGACTTCTCCCCCTTCCAGGTGACAAAGGAGACGGACTCCTTCAGCTGGAGGATGGTGGGGTGGGTGCATTGCAGCGGCCTGTACTCCACCACGATGAGCTTGGTGGCGATGGCATTCTGGCACATGATGCCCAGCTTGAACTCCAGGAGGCTGATACTCTTCTCCGTCAAGTAATCAGGACTCAGGACCACGATCATCCTGCGGCTCCTCTGGATGAAGTCGAACACAGCTTCGGTGGTATCTAAGAGTGCAAGGGCAGAGGAATTGGGGTGCACAAGGGGGAGGGAATGGGGAGAGAAAAGCCGAAGGAAGCTGTTTGGTGGCATACCTGCACAGATTGTCCCTTCCCACAGAGGGAAACCTGGCACAAGCCCAGTGACTTTCAACTTGCCCACGCTCCTGCCAACAGGGACTGCAGGAGCCGTAGCAGCATTTTCACTTTGCAGTTGGTTTTTGAGAAGACTGAAGTGGTAAATGAGAAGCCAGGATAGCCGGATAAGCCAGGACTGTACTATGACTTCTGCACGGCACAGCATCACTGCTGCCCAGGGAAATTTGGGCGTTAGATAAAAGGCAGGTCATGTTCAGGAACTACCTGCCCACAGCTCTGGCAGCCCTTTGCATGGAGGGAACAAAGTGAAGTAATCATGTAATCATGCCACAGGTCACCCTGCTGAGGCCAAAACCTACTGCCCTCCCTCTTATGCTGTCATCTAGAAATGGAAGCCTCCAAGCTTGGAAAGCAAAAATGTCAGCCTTAAACCTCCCCATCGGTTCCCCTAGTTGTGATGGGGGGGTCAAAATACTGCCCTTCAAAACATTTCTTGGGATTAATTGCAGTCTGTAAAGCTCAGCAAGATGCTTAGCTGGAAAGCTGCCAGGCAAGGGCAGCATCTCTTTTATTATGAATGTTGAAAAGCAGCACACCTGAAGGATGTCCTTGGACATGTGCGGCTTGGAATGCAGCAAGTGTATTGAAGGTGTCATGGCTAATGGGTGAGCAGTGGAAAGGGTGGGAATTAATAGGGCTGTGGCACTTATCAAATTAACCCAAGCTGAGTAACAGAAGTGTAAAAACTTTAAAAACCCCCATCTACCTACTAAGTGCTGGTGCCTGAGATGGGGAGCGGACCTGAGGACAAGGTGATGTTCCAGCAGGACAGGGAGCACTGGAGTAAGAACTCTTACACACTCAGTGAGAAAAAACACTGCAGGAATATCTTGCAAAGAGCTGTTCTGGGGAGAAGAGCTACCTGCTGCTTCCATCACCTTTCACACTGCTAAAGCCTTGATTCCTCAGCCTGGAGACTCCTCTCCCTCCCTACCAGTGGTCTTTTACATAAATAAAAATACTGCTCCTTCCCTGCAATGGCAATACTTCTTACTCTTCCAGTACTTGGCTGTCTTTTTCCTTATCTCACAGCAGAAGGTGCACCATGTTTCACCTGAATGCATCTTATTTTAATACTGTACAGAGAAATATTTTTTTTTGTTTATTGTTGTTTGTTTGTTTGTTTGTTTGTTTTCCCAAAGAGATATTACTAGATGTAAAACTCATTGTCACTAGATTATTTGGGAACCAAGAACCTGGGATAGGAAAAATGATTGAACAGTAATATCATAATGGGGAAAGTAAGTCACTGTTTGATTCTTTAACATAACACTGGAATTTAAATCAAACTATTTGGAGTATTTTTTTCTTGTATACAAGTTTTGGAGGGATTTCCCACACACACACAGAGGAAATCACTGATGCATTGCAACCAAAAGTAGATGATAAAGGCAGTTCTGCCAGAATTGTCACTCAGTGCCATGAAATGTTCTTACCACCCTATTTCAAAGGCACGAGAAGTTGGCAGCAATCTTCCAATTTCCTGAGTCCCCACCTCATTCAAACCTTTCTATAACTGATTGAGATCTATTTTGAAATCAGCCAAGCTTCAACATTTCATGAAAAAAAAAAATTCTTTGCTGGTCTGAAAGGTCTTTCTGCTTGAAACTGGAATTACATAATCACAGTGAAACGTAGGCAAGCGCAGCCCCTGGGAGGTCACCTATTCTATCTGCCTGCTCAAAAAGCACAGGTTCAATTAATATGAATTATTCCAACATTGCTGAAATGAAGTGTTTCGATTGGGCTGACAGTAATGGTTTTATCAATTTTGAATTTGCAACACTCAACATTTTTTTTTCGGTAGGAAAAATGCTCAAATTCCCAAAGATAGATTTTATTTCTGAGAATGGGAAGCATTTAGACTTGGCTGACCAGGATACCTTGGGATGTTCAGTTTATAATGTAATCCCAGCTCATGGGAAAACCTGGTGGCGACTTCACAGTGTGCTGGCAGGAGGGTTCCTCCCAGAGACACCAACAGCACAGGACAGGGCTGGCAGCAATAACACTGTGGGGTTTAGGTACCAGCAGAGTGAGGAATTTGATACTGTTGAATATCTGCTTTATACTAAAAAAACTTCCATGTTTACTACATGGTTACAAAGACACTGCATATTTTTGTTGGTTTACTTGTGTCTCCCTTAATGCACCCCAGAGATGTGACAGAGGATTATGAGATACACACATTTGTCCCAGCCCAATAAAAGCTGGGGGGTCACAGACCCCATAGCCCACAGACCCCAAATCCATAGACTGTCACAAGTATTCATTTTGTTAGTGATCAGGAAGTGCTCTCTCAACTTACCTGCTAACATATTGTCTTAGTTTGGGCTGAAATAGAGTTAATATTCCTTTTCAGGGACTAGATGGGTGCTGTGTTTTGGATTTAGCTTTGGGTTTGGTATGGGAAAAATGCTGATAGCACACTGATGTTTTCAGCTGCTACCGAGACTTCAAGGACTCTCCGACTCCTCATGTCCTGCCCGTGCACAAGGGCACAGGGAGCAGGGAGGGAGCACGGCCAGAGCACCTGACCCTAACTGGCCAGTGAAATATTCCATATCATGGAACGTCATGCTCACTATATAAAGGAGGGGTGGTTGGGAAGGAGCTCTCTCGCTTCTGGGATTGTGATTGTGGGATCTTGGTATCTCGGGGTCGCTGGCCGGGAACGGGCTGGGTATTGGTTAGTGGGTGGTGAGCAATTACGTTGTACATTGACTGTTTATATATTTCTTTTGGTTTCCCCCCTATCATCGTTATTGTTCTCGTTTTATTGCCATTATTAAACTGTTCTTATCTCAGCCTGCGAGTCTCCCTTCACCCCTCTAATCCCTCCCCCATTCCCAGGAAGGGAGGGGGAAGGGAGGGTGATTAGCTGCAGTGGTTGATTGCCGATCAGGCCCAAACCACAACACATATAAACAAGGAAAAGAGTAAAGAAAGTGGCTTGGATGAGAAAATATGAAGCTGAATGAACATTTTCTACCCAACTACTTGGAAGGTAATGGGCAAAGCAGCCTAAGAGTGAATTTGATTTCTGTGGTTAGGGTAGATTTCCAAGATTTCTGTTCAACACTCTGGCTTGGTCTCTCGAGCAAAGGGATGATATTTCCTTCTCATCTTTCTATCTTGTGATTGCTGAATGAGCATTCTTCAGGTCAGAGAATTTCTGTGTGTGTGTGTCCACTGTTGGGTGACATTTGAGCGCTGTGTGTCACTGTGTTTCTGCTTGCATGGCCCTGGTAGCAGTGGTGGTGCCTCAGGATCTCTGCAGGCACACCATGAAACAGTCAGGAAAATGCTCCCCTCTAAGAAGGTGTCCCCAAATGATCCTGATGCTTAGACTACACAGAGTCATCTTTCTTTAATGGCCTTCTGTAGATGTAATGAGGAGGAAAATGATACTTATGAGAAATGCACAAGGACAGAAATGCAAAAGTGAAAATGTTTTATTGAAAAGCAAAATAAAATAATACTGACACTTCACAGACCAAATAACACAAAGGCAAAAACATACAGGAAAGAGAAGGGAAAACTCTGGAACTGCTGTACGACATCAAATGGCACAAGGGGGAAGATATTTTTTCCAATTTGTGCCGTGCTGTTTCCCCATGAAATAACAATGAGGAGTTTTATATGAGCTGCATATTGATAAATGTTAGGCTAGAGCACAGAAACTCAAATGAATCAACTGAACTATGCAGATGCTGTGACAGAATCCCACAATGGACACCACACATGGCATAGGATGAAGTGGCAGGCATATTTGAGGTGCTTTGCAGATCTGCATTACAGCTGGGACTGGGCTTCACTCCTGGCCTGAGAGCTCCCAGCAAAGCCAGTGGCAAAGCTCCCAGAGGAGCAAAGTCTGCTCCAGCACTATTCCCTCCCTCTGGACTTCCTAGTCCCCTTCCAGCCCATCTCACTTCTTGCCTTGCAGGTGCTCTGCTGATGTCTCTCAGTAATCCTGTTCTGGGGTGTCTCTGATTTATTTGGAAAACTCTTTGAATAAAATCAGCAAAATAAATGAGGTGTATTTTACTTCCTAAAATAATCAGACTTATTAAAATATCAGCAGAAGTTTTCTTGGTACTTCAGCCAAAAGTGAGATGTGATATGGTGAGGCCTGCAATGTTAACTAATTTATAGTTATTTTTGAGTCAATTTTTAAAAAATCAAATTGGAATATAACACATTTCTGCTTTGGCCCCAGGGCCTTCTCTCTGCCTGCAGATCTGTCAGCCAATTACAGAGATGCTGAAAACACAAACAAAAGGCAAAATGTCGTGGTTGCAAGGGGTTCACAAAGCTGAGCATGGTTTTGGGTGCTATCTCTTAGAAATGAAGCTTCCTGGAGTGTGGGAAGCAACTCTGTCCCTCCACAGAGAACCGGAGTAGAAAAGCTCGTAACAGCAAGGCTTTTAAGCACCTCTGAGCAGATAAGGAGCTCCACTGCCTTCAGTGAAGCTGACTGCAATTTTATTTGCTTAAAACAAAGCTTACTTGGGATAGGAAGGATGAAGATGAAGGTGAGAAAGAAGACCTATTTGTTCCACACTCGCACAGTACCTGCCCAACAGCACAGGTGCCTGTGGCTCCCCACTGCCAGGCAATAACATTATTAATCATAAGATGCTAAGAGCAAAGGGCTTCACCAGTGCCAGGATTCAGCCCCACACCTTTAAGGCTGGGCTGTTTACTGGGAGACCCTCAAACCTTGCTGCTCAGCTGCGTGAATAGTGCATAGATTCCAAATTGTAGTGCTTTTTTAATGCTAGTATGAACGGATATGCTTCACCCACTGGACACCTACAGAGCAAAAGCATGAGTCACAGGTGACTCTGGAGTAACCATTATCAACAAAAAATAAGCATGCACTTAGTGTGCGTAATACTGAATTCCACAATTAAGTGGGCTGGCCATTGCACCGGGAGCTACAGGAGTATGGAAACATCCCCAGAGCTTGTAGTTTTATGTGAAAACACTGTGAACAGTACCAGTCAATGCTGGGGTCCTGCTGTGCTTTGGTCTATCCTACAAGGGAAGGGACACTCCCCTCCCTCAGTCTGAAAAGCCTGTCTGCTGGGGGTTAACATAGCAGGTCCCCTCCCATGCTAGCTGCCTTCCACTGAAATAAGGACTTGTACTCAGTGGTTTTTTATATTCCCATTTTGTGCAAAGGTTGCAGAAGCTGAGATATATCCTCTGTCCTGCAGCTCTGGGTGGGAAATAAGATGGGTGGAGACTTGTTTTGTAAAGCCACGGCTAGTTTAAGCCTAAGCCCTGATGGTGATGTTGTTCATATCTAGGCAGAAAACACCAAGTCTTCATAAATTCATAGAATATTTTGTGTTGGAAGGGACCTTTAAAAGTTACTTAGTCCAACCCTCCTGCAATGACCAGGGACATCTCCAACTAGATCAGGCTGCTCAGAGCCCCGTGCAACCTGGCCTTGAATATTTTCAGACATGGGGCATTTACCACATCTCTGGATAACCTGTTCCAGTGTTTCACCACCCTCATTGTAAACAATTTCTTCCTTAAATCTAGTCTGAATCTACACTCTATTAGTTTGAAAACATTATCCTTGTCCTAATGAAACAGGACCTACTAAGAAGTCTGTCCTCATCTTTCTTATAAGGCCCCTTTAAGTATTGAAAGACTGCTCTAAGGTCTCCCCAGAGCCTTCTCGAGGCTGAACAACCTGAACTCTTTCACCCTTTCCTCATAGTCTTACCCAGCTGAACAGAGCTAGTAGTTTTTAATAAGTTCAAGTAAGTTTGTAGGGTCTCCTGGGGAGTTGGACATATATCCAGTGTCATCCCAGAGGCCTTGGCAGCACCTTGCATGATGCTTTCCCCCAGCCAGCAGCACAGAGACAGTAGGCGGGTTCAGTAGTAAAGTGGGGTTCCTTGCAGTGCTTCTGAAATCCCTGAGTTTACTCTACAAAGAAGCATCTCTCAGACACTCTCTGTGGTCTGTACTAATGAGAGATTTCCCCTGGATTATAAGCATTACAGCCCTGAAGGATCTGGGATACTCAGGAGTCTGCAGAGTCCCAGAGACTGACCACTTAATAGAAATGCTACAATGCAAATACAATGCAAATATCACCTAGCAGAGCTCTCCCCCCCCCCCTTTTTTTTTTTAATTATTTTGTAACAGCCATTTCACATTGCCAAACTATCTGAATACCTGCTCCTAGAGAAATGTGGGGAACAAAGATGAGGAGCCTCAAGAGTCTACACTCCCCCACACTGAAACAGAAATCTGTGATCCCACAGTGATCAGGACTATATAGCTGGGACACGTATGAAAGGCTCTACACTGGAGCCACCTTTCAAACTGTTCCCCAGCCTCTGCAACAAGGGTCAATGACCAGGAAGGAGTGAAGCTGCTTTGGAGAAGAAAGGAGCCACAAGTTGCTGGCTGCATCCCACCTGGATAGCCCAAATTTAGACCTGGAGCCCAGGGCTTGTGTGGTTGATGACAAGAACATGAATTTGCAGAGAGGAGGTGTATGCATCTTTGGTCTCTCTACTGCCAGGGCAACAGAAAAGCTACGGGGAGGCCTGGCTGTCCTCTGAAATGCTTGGGGGACAGTCCTTCATGGCAAAACCCCCGAGTTCCTTCCCATGCCCTGACCTAACTTGTGGGTTTTGGGGGTTTGTTTTGTTTTGTTTTCTGATGGTGTCAAACACTTTTCAGGGATACGTATGAGCGTATCAAGGCTCCTGTTAACTTTTTGCACTGGCATTTCCACCTGCAGCTGCTTCCAGAACCTGCCCTTTGGGAACTTGGATTTCTCGCCTTTCCATTTAATGACAGTCAAGGCCGCCTTGGCCTGCTTCAGCTCCTTCACTGTGCTCTTCTTGATGGCTTTGTACTGCACTAGAATGACTTTGATGTTGCCCTTGGAGGCCATATTCTCTAGACCAGCCTTGAGCTCCAGCAGGGCCTGTGTCCCCTGCAAGATGTAGTTGGGGCTTAGGACAACAAGCAGACGTCGGCTTTTCTGGATGAAGCTCAGGGTTTCGTCTGTGACAACTGGGAGAAAGAAACATTGAGGTGGTTAGTGATGGCCGAGAACATGCTGCTGATCTGCTAGTGTGACACCAGGTGTCTTTTGAAGGAGACAATCAAATCCCTTGGAGGCCTTCTCTATACTGGTGCTTCCCAACCCTACAAGTGATTCCAGGTAGGGTGTCCTACACCATAGCTGGCACCCACTGCCCCATACCAGTGACATATTCTACTCCCAGCCTCAGGCTGCCTACAGATGCATTTCCTCCTAGCTATGCTGCACAGAGATGCCTGAGGTAGCTACATCTAAAAGGCACTGTACTACATGGCAGTGTCACCACCCAATGCTATGAGGATGCTATGTGGCCAAGAGGGCTGCTCTGGTAGGCTCAGATTTAGCTTCCTTCTAGTAAGAGTAGAAAAGGAGGCTCTCTGGAGCAAAACAAGAAAGTTGTCAGCTGGACAACACATGACTTCAAGGAAAAGACTCAGCCTGAAGAGGTGTTGGGAAGCCTGAATGCCTACACTTATATCCTCCTCTGGCAGATGTCCAGAATGACTCTGGGTAATCCCTTCACTTCTCTTGCCTCTATCTACAGCCTCCCTGAGTGTCCTCATGGGTTAATTTGCTTTGGAAATACCACCATCCTAACTCCTGCTTCTCATCCAGCTGTTCCTGTTGCTGTCATCGATGAAAGCAGATTTGTGTGTTTGTAGAAGTGACGAGTAAACTGCTCTGAGGACTTTTAATGAAGTGTCCCAAAAGTAACACCCTTTGAGCTGGAGATGCCATGGTAACTGTGGATCCTCTTTGATTTTCTAACATCCGTACTTAGACTGTCATTAGGTATCTTTCTGTAATTAATGTGAAAATTCATTGTAAGTGTGAATCCCAGTGCTTGCACTCTCTGCTGCAGGATCTCCTATGCTTTATTGACAAGTGAACAATCTTGACTGGTCAGGAAATACAATGGAGAATAAAATAATGGTGACAGGCAACTTTATTTAGCTGTCAAGCACGTTTGATTAGTTCCTGTCAGCAAGCTCACAGGATAATCCATCTCCCACTGTTTCTTCATCAGCGACAACATAACTCTCTACCTGTTGACACAGATGCACACTCTGGAGGCATAAGATCAGCTGCCAAAAGCTATCTCCTGGCCCCCCGTGCTTCCCCCCAAGAAGGAGATTAGTCAAATCCTAGCTAAGAAGCAACACACAAGCCCCAGCAGTGTTGCAAGTGGCAGTGCAATGACAAGCCACCCTAGCAGTGCTCTGGAGGGCTGGCGCTGGACTGAGGTTGGTAGTGACCACCACGGAGAGCAGGGATGGGGGTGCTCCAGGGATAAGGGTGAAGGGCAGGGAGCCCAAGGGAGCTGCGCTGGAAGGAAAATGAGACCCTCCAAAGGGAAAGACGAAGGATGACAAGAAGTGACAGAGGGAACAGGAGGCAGATGTACGTCTTGAGGAACTAGTGAGAATACCTCAAGAGCAAACCTGCTCTGAGCCTGGCACTGGCATCAAGCAAATAGAGCCCAGAGGGTGTCCTGCCATGTCATCCAGGCTCTCTCTAGAAGGAACAGCACCAAGATTGCGGTTGTCTCCCATCCCCCAAAGCACACATATTTATTTGCCCTCAAATTTAGAGGTGCTGTGTTCTAGCAATGATCTAGGAGATAAAAATAACGGATCCCAGACTGATTCTGCTCCCTGTCACACAGCTGGGCTGGGACTCCAACAGTCCCTCCTGTCCTACCCAAAAGGGACCCTAATGGACTTTATCAGCACAGGTTCTGTCATCAGTGGGATCCTGACCCAAAGCCCATGACTTCAAAGTGGGGCAGTCTGCACTGGCAAAATTTCACGCTTTGAACTTTTAGTAGGCATCAGGGATCATACAGCCAACTCTGCTCCAAGGACACTGGAAATTGAGTGTTGGCCAGATTTGTGCCCTTGCTGTGGCACCTGCGCGATTGTATGCCTATCCAGAGACTTTCACAAACTTCTGTTCTTGGTGAATACCTGCATCTCTGCAGCAGAGGCTGTGTCTGGAACCTTGTATGATTTAGCTTGAAACAGTGAAAATAACCAAATCTACATCTTGGTGAATAAATGAGTCTCACTACCTTCAACAAAGTACTCTTAATCAGAGCAACTTAATTGTATGCCAAGTTAGACACAGACTCTATAATTAATGAGGGTGAGTGGGAAGCCTTCTGGGAGGGCATTTTATCTTCTCACTGATGTTGGCATGGTGCTCTCCACACTTCCCTGAAGCAGACACTTCTGGGTTTTACAGGAACGCACCATTACCCTCTGTGAACTATCAGTCTGGTCCAGTATCACACTCCCCCTGTCTCTCTTCTTTAAGGCAGCCCAGGGGGGTTTTCATGAGATCAGTGGTCTGGTTCCCTTATGTTGATAGATCAATCACTCCTGTACATCATGCCTGGGAAGAGCAACTGAAATGACCAACAGCCACCACTTGTCCACTGCAGCCTTTTTGGTGGCCTGGAACATCTGAGACATTACCACATGAAGCAAAAACAATAGAAGATACAACAACAGATCATTAAGGAAGATGGGGAAAAAAAACGAAAGATAAGCTGGATAGGCCAGTTCCTATCAATTATCAGTACCTCAAAGAACAATAAAGAGGATGCGCATGAAGCACAGCCCCCTGTGAAATACTCACTTCCCCCTGGAATGCTGTCTCTGTCGAAGATACACAGCTTGTACCCAAACTCATTCTCCAATACTCCCCGCAGCATCAGCAGCACAAATTCCTCCTCCTCCGCATTGCGCGCGTAGGACACGTACACATCGTACTCCTTCCCGTCTGAGCATGGGGAGCGCAGAGAAACACAAACAGCAGAAGAGACACTTGTGATACTGCACATGCTGAACCTTTGACTTGCTTCACAGGAAAAGCAGATATGAAGGCTCGCTTTGAGCCCAGGCAGCACAGGTTAAGACACATTGATTTCCATAGTTACAAGACAGCAATGCTGCCTCTTTGACTACCCAGCCTGAACGTGCAGGTACTCAGATACTGCTGGGTTGCTGAAGGCACAAGACCGCATTAAGATGACCAACCTGTTCTGTCCAGGGTTCTTTTGTCATCTCTGACTTTGCTTCCTCTCACTGCTGTCTATCCACATGAGCAGTCTCACAAGACAGAGACTTGCACCCCGCCTACACCCTCTGAGAACCACCGCACCCCCTTGGCAGGTTCACACCACAAGCTGCAAGGGCTCAAACTCCTCCTCATCCTACAGATGAATAAACCTCACCTCAGAGTCCCAAGAGATGAAATCCCAGTAACACAGGGAAGCTGTGGAAAAACTGAGGATAGAAAGGTGATTTCCAGGTCCATCTTTTTGGATGCTTTCCCACAATTTAAAGCAAATTACCCTGGATTCATGAATCCTTAGAGTCACCAGAGAAACCAGGGACTTACTGAAATGTGATGACTTATTTTGACCATCTAGATTGGATGAAACAGCTAGCCATCAGACGGGCAGTACCCCAGGGAGCCTGACAAGTCCATGCTTCACCTCTGCAGAGAACACAGAGGACTTATCTCTCCTTTCCCCCAACCCAAACCTGACTTTTATTGCTCTACAATGACCCACACAATTGAACACAGGTATAGAAATGGAAGGTCAAAATGCCATTATGCTGTGAAGTGTTAAAAATAACTTGCATGAAAATTCCTACATGAAAATGAAGGGTCTGGCCTGTAGCAGGATAAAATAAATGTAAGTCCTTTAACTCCTTACCTAGAATGGTTTCATCTGTTCCAAAATGAGCCCGATAGAAAAGGACCATTTCAAGCCAATAAACATGATAGATGACTATCAGCACCACAACAAGCAGGATGGTTGCCCCCAGTCCACAGGCCAGCTCCACGGTGTACTTCGGTGCTACAACTCGGTTCAAAAAGAAATAGAGGGTCTGGTTTACAGAACAGGTTGGGCCTTCAGCTAAGCAGGAACAAGCTTGTGTCACATGCAGCCAAACACCACAGAGGAACAGCTGAGGGCCAAGCTGGCTCTTCAGAGGAAGATGGCCAAGCCAAGGCTCTTCTATCAGGATTCATGATGGCTGGCCACCCCGGAGTCCCCATTCTGGGTTACCAGGTCTGGTTGGGCTGGCAGAGCAAGCCAAAGCACAGGCTGGACTTATGCCTCAGAGAAACCCTGGGAGCAGCCAGATGTTGATGGAAACCACCTGCACAGTTCAAAGCCAGCTCATGAACATGACCTTCTCAGCAGTATATGAAAACTCTTAGGGCAACACAACAACACTTCTAGGAGAGCCAGCCAAAGCTCACATGCAGCAAAATAAAGGCAGTGGCCACCATTTTCCCTCCCCATCAAACACATATAGTTCTTGTGGCTTGTCCTAGACTAACAGCAAGGATATAACTAGCCATGGCCTGCTTGTTTTCTACCAGGAAAGAGGAATCAGAGTTCACTACAGAAAAACTGAAATACTTGCAAACAGATAGGACAACCTGTGGACATCAAGCCAGAATATCACAGGCCCCCCTCCAACTCATACAGCGTCTGTCACACCACTGCTGCTTCTTTGTATTAAGGACAGAGAATAACTCTTCTAACTAGCCTTGGGCAACTGTTTTTATGGCAATTCAGGTGGCAGCTGACATGCACATTGGCAAACTGCACAATAAAAGAACAGCAATGAGTGGAAACATCACCAAATTCCAAGATTCAGTAAGTTTTATTAGAAGATGAATTACAAAAAAAAAAAAAAAAAAAAAAAAAAAGAAGGAATTTAACAACTTTTATTAGGTGATGGGCAGCGGAAGTATTTGTTCCCCTACTCTTTTGCCAGACAAGGCTCAAGGCAGGACTGACAGCCCTCTCTGAGCATGCCTCATTTCACACCCATGCTCTGCAAGTATTTTACCTTTTATGCGCACTATGGCCTGGCTATGGTCCTCGCCTTTGGCATTTCTGGCATAGCAAGTGTAATTCCGTTTCAAGTCCTCTGGTGTGGCTTTTGCAACTGTTAGAGTCCTTATGACAGTTTTGTCTTCAAAATCTCTAGTAATTTCACTGTAAGAGAAAAACTAGAGCACTACATACGTGAAACTGCAGCAAGTTCTTCTTGACAAATACTCCTTTCCCTGATATATAACCTGACTTAAAAAAAAAAAAATTAAACTGATATTTATAAACTGATACACACTTCAGATTTTAATACAGCTGAAGCTGTTCCCTTATCTGATTTTCCTTAATATTTATTTTGCCACTCATAATTTTCTCATTGCAGCTGTATCACATTGCATTTTAGAGATAAAGGAAGTTCTTGCCTACAAAGCAACAAGATCTCATGAACTCAGGATTCAGAGCACACGTCACATTCCCTGTACAATCCTGGCTGAGTCACTTTGTCTCTCTCTGTCTGAATTGATCATCTGCAAAATAGGGATAATAGTATTTTGTTTTGCCTTTCCTTTTTCTATGTAGGTTTGCAAACTCATTGGGGCAGTGACCGCCTTCTAAGTGTAATTCAGTACCCAGCAAATGGGACTCTGAACCTCATCTGGATTTTTCATGTAACAAAATCTCTATTCCTTCTAATCAATACTATGAATAATACTATATTTTTGTTTCCAGCCTCTATTTTTTGGAAATATTTTTATCACTTATGGTACTTGGGAACATTTGTCTAAATAAAATTGTGTCTGCCCCTCTTTTAGAAGTCCCACAATAGCACCAGCTGTTGGCACCACTACCAGGACCAGAACAAGTGATGATGTGAACAGGTAAACAAAGCTCCCTCGAATCCTTCTGTAAGGTGAAACACTGTCCAGGTCTGGAGGCCTCCTCCCTGGAGTTTCCAGTGCTCATCATGGCATGGTGCAGACACAGGGGTTTCTGATTAACAGGGACGGAGGGGACTACACACTCCCTTGCAAGGGAAAATGATATTGCTGCTTGTCTGTACCCACACAACTCCACAGGACCCAAGAGAGGGTTAGATACAAATGAAGGTTCACATTATTATGTTACCTTTGTGTGACTTTTATCTTGGGGTCTGCAATGTCATCTGTGCTTTTCCCATCTATGGTCCACCACACCTCAGTCCGGGAGTCCTTCAGGAACGTGAAGAAGACCTCACAGGACAGTACAAGGTCCTCTCCTAGGAAGAAAGGACCACTGTGAGGTCTTGCAAAGCAGGAACAGCATCCCCCTGACTTTTGTGCTTTCCAGTGATTCTACCAGCCGAAGCTCTGCCTCCTTTCAGGAGGGACTGGGACTCACATCCACCTTCAGACATCTGGTAACAGTTTAACACTCTGGACATGTTGATTTATGACAGGCAAATAAATAGAAAAAAATATTCTGCCTGCTCAAATGTGTTACAAATTCCTTAACTGCACCAAGTGACCCATCAAAAGGGTCACTTGCTAACCACTTAGTTGGAAAACTGGGCAGTGTTAATCACCCCCACTGCACAGGGGACAGATGCCGTAAAGCAAAAGATCCAGCTCCACAAAAGCATTTTGATGGAAATATTTCTTCAGGCATTTAACTTCCCCTCAAGATCAGGCATGGGAGTGTGAGTATCTTTGTGATCAGCCCATAAGTGATTTTATCTTATAGAGTGACTATGGAAGAAGTCTGACCTTCTGAGCCAAAAAAGCTGTGCTTTAAAGTGAAGACTCTGCTGCTATTCATCATTGGCACCACATTTATTAAAGCAATGTAATAGGACACGATCCGTTCAATATAGGGAATTTCTCCAAAAAGTTACCCTTCTAAACAGATGGGGTGGGGGAAGGGATGTGGTCCCCCTTACAAAATGATGTGAGGCCAGCAAAAGGAGAGCTGTCGTTAATTAGGAAGTAATCAGCCAAAAACGGAGAGGAGATGAGCAAGAAGTGGCCAGAAAGCTGAAGCCACTGAGGGAGGGTTGGAGTAAACCACAGCCAGGGACAGGGCCGAGACAAGGTCCTACAGGAACTTCTCTAAGCACCTGAGTGTCCCTGTTTCACCTGCTTCTGCAGCTGCAGTCCTGCATATTCATGCCTGAATATGTATCTTTATTTGTGCCTGGAAAAAGAAACTTTTAAAGTTGTGCTCTCCTAATTCTGGCCTTGAGAACTGGCACCCCACACTGTCTGCCAGGCAAGTTGTGGCAGCTCGAGTGCTCTGCAAGGGGAAGCACCGGGGGTGCAGTAGAAGGGGAGAGCTCCTTGTGCCTGGCTGGGTCTCCCCATCCTGGCAGGCAGGCTGCCAGGACAGCTACAGCCCACAGTGAGCATTGCAAATTTACCTGCTTCCAGTTCATAGACAACTTTCTCATTTGGAGAGGTGAATTGTGGCGGCAAGGCCTTGTTTGGAGATCCTGTGGGAGAGAACAGAGAGGCCCCCATGGGGACCCAGACTTCATGAGAAACTGAGGTCCTTGTAGCCTCACTCATGATGCCCTTGGACCCTGCTGCACATGCCCCAATCTAATATGTGATACAATCCTACTGCAGAGTTCCATGCAAAGAGAAATCTAATCCTAGTCCCCAAACTCAGGGAGTGACCCAGATTTTGAGGATCCTTCAAAGTTTAGGTAAGTCTAGATACAATTTTTTTGGCCTCTAATCTCCCACTCAACATCTCTCACAAGGCACAACCTGTACCACTTTATTTTTATTGCTGCTTCTAAAAGACAAATTACAAACATCATTTCCTGTCACAAATATTTAATTCAGCTCTTAAAGCAGTGGTTGCCATGGGACTCAGCATGTGCTCTACTGTTCACTAGGTTTTTAAGCTCTGTCTACAACTCCCTGGCAGATAGGCTGAGCCCTTGTGCCTGGGACAGACATGCCCAGGCACTAGGCTGGGTAACTTGAGCCCTGGCTGGCCGATTAATAGTCTCGACCTCAGCACACAAAGCTTTGAGACTGCAATAAGTCCGAGGCAAGTTGGCTATAATGGGACAATCCCACAAATAATGACAAGCAAAGGGAACAGAAATGAACAGGACTCCCAGGGTTATGCATTCACATGCCAGCAGAGGGTACCCCTGGCCACCTCATGGGCTATACCTCACCAGCCTAAAGCTTGGTCACTCTCCGTGTTGTTTGGGGCATTTGACATGGTGGTGGGTTGGACTTCTAGTGCAACATGTTCTGGGCAGTCACATGAGGCTGACCGCAGAAAGCAAAAATATGCGGGTCAGTTGGGTAATGCAGGTTGAGCACAACCACAAAGGAATTCCATGACAGACTCTTCTAGCTGTTTTTACCACTTGTGCAGTTATCCATCTGCATTTTACGCATTTTAAAGTCATTCTTACCCACCACCTTCATCTTTATGGTTCTGGTGAGATTATAGGTTCTTCCATGGTCCTTGAATGTCACAATACAAGTGTAATTCCCTTTATATGCACTGCGGACAATGCCAATGACAAGCCTGGGCCCTTGAGGGTATCTCTCATAGAAGCCATCCACCAAGTTGCAGTTCTGGAGTCAGATAGAAAAATACTTGAGGTTTGGGATTCAAAAGTAAAGATATTGGTCTAAATCTACTACAAAAATCAGTTCTTAAATGATGAATATGATACTTGGGATTGTGACATAGATTGGACCTAAATACCATAAACTTTGAGCACGCTGGAATATAAACTGGTATGTTCACCTTGAAAATGAGGTGATGAAGCAAACGACGCTAATAGCTTTATCCCACCTTAAGTACAGACAGTTTTATAAAAGAGAGACCTCTGATCCAGAAGCACATTTGCAATCAAGGTGAGCACCTCAGCAGAGTGAAGAGTGAAAGTAAAGAGAGACAGGAAAAAAGTGATGATGTATTCACAAACGGATACTAAGACTAAAGGACATGTCCCCCGTTGATGTCAGCATGTCTAACTCTTTCAGGACTAATCAAGCTACTCTGATTGACTTCAGCTGAGGATGAGGCCCCAAAATTGGCAACTGGCAAAGGAAAATATGTAGCACAGAAACCTTAATAACTCTCTTCTTTCTGTCAGGCGAGGCAGGAAACCTCTGCCAAGTAGCAAGCTAGAGATCCCTTTTCAGAAAGGGGTTATGCAATTTGTCATAAAACCTAAAGAAGTGAACATTTTCTAAGAGATTATTTCTGAATGATACATTTCCAAATCAGATACATCCTAATGGGGCAGTTTAAAACAGGGGTCATATACCATTTTTAATGATTTTTATTAGGCATGGTATGACTTGCTGCCTGAAAAATTACTTCCACGGGGATTTTTTGTTTCATTTTGCTAATTGATTGCTGAGATGTGAATTTCAAAGAATTGTACAAGTAAAGCATTTCAACTACTGGAGTGAAACTGCTCCTGTTGGATACAAAAGTATGTTTTTCCTGAAGGGTTTCAGAGTTGGGTTTCTTCTTTTGGGGTGTGTTTTGGTTTTGTTTTGTTTTTTGTGTTTTTTTTTTTAAAAAAATCAGCAGATACACTTGTTGCCAACTTACTTTATTACTGAATTCACTCATACAGAATCTTCTATTTAGAAATCCAAACGCGCTTTATAAGCAGCTCAGGCCCATAACCCTCTGGCTGCATGTCCCCTGACAATTCTTACTCTCTCTTGACTAAAGGCATCCACCTAGAGAAAACCACTGAGGTCAAAATTTAATAAAATTGAGCAATAATTCTATAAACAAGAGCCTGAGGATGGCTGGAGACAGCGTAACTATCAGAGCAGTATGGAGCCTAGAGTACAGATGTCTCCATCTTCAGAAGATAGGTTTGCTGAAGTGTCAAACAGGGCACCCACAGTCTTTGCAGAGGCCTGATGTACAACTTAATTTCCTGACCTCAAAGGATTTTGGAAAGTATACTATATTCATTAGCAGGTGGTTATTGCTCTGCTCCCTGTCCCACTCCCACGCCCTTTTTTTTTTTTTTTTTTTTTTTTTTACAGAAGAGGGAATATGAATCACACTTTCCCCTTTACAGGGATAGTGACTGCCTCACACAACAGGTCAGGTACACTGCCTGCAGCTGAACTGAGGTTCCTAAATCCTTGCTAGAGTATTCTCTGCTTATGCACACTGGTCAAAAAAGTGTCAGTGTTAGTTCTCAATTCCCTTCCAAGAGCAGTTTTACCCTTCAACTCAATGGAAACAAAGCTCTTAAAATTAACAAAGCTTCTTTAACAGCTTCATCACTGGGGAGACTCTGAAACATAGCTCCATGATTCTTATGCCAACCATTGCTTTTTCAGATACAACACTGCATTCCCCCACTGCCCAAATAAGTCCTTACCAAGTACCACTTGACAGTTGGTTTTACACTAGCAGGGTAAAATCCATCAATATTTGGACATACGATCTTCTCATTGGTGTGCTCCAAGTAGAACATCTCTTCAGTGGGTTTTATTGAATGGCTCACACAAGAGTGTTGGTCTTTCGGAACAACCTCCAAGGGAAATGCAACTTTGCTGCAATAGGTTGTATTTCTAAGGATGGAGCAGGATAGGGCTGATTATTTGAAACTCGTTTACTCCTATAGCAGTGGAATGAAATAAATATCACATCTGCAATAACAAGCATCATAGCGTTGATGAGGTATATACAGCCCTAGTTGACTCATTTCTAAATGGGAAAGAAAACACCAAAGATGGCCACGCTAGCTCAGAAAAGCCTATAAAGATGACTAACAAGCAACATACACTCTCCTGCTGGTAAAGCAGATAATAGGGTCAAAGACATGATGAACAAGAGACAACATGAGGAAGATCAAAAAGAGCTCTTGTGCTCAGTGCATGGCAGATGCTATGTTCATTTTGTACCACACTTAGAGACACTTTTAATTTCCTAGAAGTCTGAATCTCATGAATCTTTGCCAAATTAGCATGCAGTCAAAACATTATCCCTGCATCTCAAGTTATATTTACTCTAGACACACAGATCACTTTGTAATGGTGAGTGCCTGTGGATTTTGCCGCGGGCTCAGCAATATTTTCACGGACACTTGCAGCTAGCAAAGAGAGGCATGCTCATTAAAGTTTGCAAGGCTCCAAGCATTATTACGATGTAAATTGGCTCAGCACTGAGTGGTCTTATAATTGTAGCATTCTTTTCCCATTAATGCTTATGTAAATGGTCTCCCTACAGAAAGATCTGGTGCTAACAGCACAATTTTCCCGCTTCCGTTAAAGTCGTCCTTTGATTATGCTGAAGACCTACAGAAGCCACACTGTACAACATACCTGAGCATGCACGTATAATTCCCAGTGTCATTGAGAAGAGCAGGCCAGAACCAAAGGGTGTCTTTCTCCTTACTGATGTGATTGTCTGGGAGACGAAAATTAATGGGTTCCTCTAGATCCCGGTCCTGCCCAATCCTGTACCAGATCAGGGTTAAACCAGCAGAATGGGCTGTGCTGTAGTTGTACTTCAAGAAGGTCTCGAAAAGTGGGCATTTGATCTTGGCAGGTTCCCCATCATAAATCTGGATCTGCTTCATGGTGTCCACACCCCAGTCATCGCAGCGTTCTGTGGCCAGGAAGAACAAGGTACCTTAACTAGCAAGTCTACATGAGAAAAACAGTTCTGCCCATGCTCCTCACAGCCCTTGGTCCTGTCCCCATTAAAATCAGAGGCAAAAACATGGCGTATTCAGTGGAAGAAAACTGTGCTTTTATAAAGCAGAGCAAGAATACTGTGTTCAGTTCTAGAGAACCTGCAAACCTCTACTTTCATTTGTATACCTTCTACATTTCTTCCAAGTTATTTATCCCCCGTCAGGACAATAGGGCAAGATAGGATATTCCTGCACAGCACCAAGAGAGCTCCAAGAAAATTCAACCCTAAAATCTTGTGTGGGAAGATAAAATTGGAATGAAAACAATGCTAGAGGTGTGTCTGCATCCATGCACAGCGACAGGAAAGATGGAAATAGAGATGGTGGAATAAGAGGGGAAAAAAATAACAAAACAAACATCAACCCTCCCTTAGAGCTATGGGCTACTGCCTCTGCCAGAAGCAGCTGAGCTGTGATTCTGGAAGCAAGGACTGTCTGTCCTGTGATAGATTCAAGCAATGCCTGTGCATGCCATGATAACACAGAGTACAAGCACTAAAAGTGATGCGTAGTGGCTGTTTATAGTGAAGTTTGGGAAGGGAGGCTGAGGAGCTGAATAGACAGTATGGAGGAGGTGGCAGCAGGTTCTCTTGGGGATCCCCAAGCAGCCCCCAAGTGCAATTCCCATGCACAGGCTCAGTGTAGCTCACAGCAGACTCAAGCTGACATAGAAGCTGAGCAGCATGAGAAAAAGCTGAGCAGTACCTTAAAAAAAAAAAAAAAAGCACAACAAAAACAACAACAAACAAAAAAAAACCCACTTTTTTTTTTTTTTTTTAATTCTTATCATTAGTGAATAGTTTCAGGACAAACAGCACAGTCAAAACCCATTTCCCTTCCAAGTGCTCCTCTCCACTCCATTCCTCCCATCAGGATGCCCAGTCACAAAGGGACTGTGTACAAGCAAAGCACAGTATCAGGGTGTCAGCGAACCTAAGAACAACCTGCCCTGCCGGCAGCTGTCACCGCATGTTCTGTCTCCCCACGCTGCCGAGGCAGAGTGTGGCACAGCATGTTTCCCAGCACATCTCTTGTAGCTGCTGGGAGGCTTTAGCTAGGGCAGCCTGACGTTTGAGAGCCCAAAAAGTGTCAGAGGAGAGGGGTGTGCTGCCTTCAGCAGTCCCCAGGAGCAGTGTCTCAGCATATCACAGGCATACCAGAGACAGAACTGCAAAGCCTCTCTGGTTGGCAGATATTAGAACTACTCAGACCAAGAGGAAAAACAGAATACAATATGTTCTTTGAGCCCAATTCTTCTGAACTGGCTTCACAGACCCAAAGCAGGACTTCTGGCATTTTATCTTCCTTAAATAGAGAGTGGGATGTAGCTTAGCCCCAAATTCATACTTAATTTAAAAAAACAAAGAGATAAACCTTTGAGATGATGGGCCCACAGCACTTAAAGGCAGTAATGCTAACTCCTGTGGGTCAGCAATGGTTAGTCAGTGAGGAGGGATCCGGGCCAGTAAGAACAGAAATTTTTTTGGTGGGCTTATACATAAATGTAAGTGCAAACTGCACGGCTCCTCCTGTGGTATGCCAAACACCCATATGACAGAGTGCTACTTCTGGAGGAAGAGAGTGAATTGGGCTAGGAAAAGGCAGTGTAGCTACCATGAGTACAAGTATCTGCTAGTAGGAACTCCAAACCCAAAGGACTGGAGAATGCCATGGCTCATCATCTAAGAAACATACAGATATTTCTCTCAAAACTGCAAAGCATCATCCAGCAAGGCTGCTACCACAGCCAGGACCACGGGTCATTCTGAAACACCAAACCACTATTGGAATCCTTACACCGTGGGAAGGTGCACAGTCACCACCATGGTCAAGGCCAACTGGAATCAGTACACTGCTTTATGTTAGTGGGGTCAAGCTACTGGATTAGGCATAGTCAGGTTTCCATAGAGTGGTAAATGAGACAAAAAAGCTTGCCAGAGACTACCTGCTAATTGCATAATAAAGAACTGATTACTATTTGGGGGGTGGCATTTGTTTCAATAAAGAAAGGCTTTCCCTCTGAAAGGAGCAGATCTGGGTCCGTAAATCAGGACATGTGACACTGTCTCCTCTTGGGCTGCATAAAGGCAAATTGTCCTTATTACTTCAAATGGCAGGACTAGAGAGGAAGAAAACTATATAAAACATTACACTACTGAAATTCTTGGAGTCAAGATCAATGAAATTTACAATCATGAACAGCTCTTGTATTTTGCAACAGATCATAAATCAGCATTGTAAAACTACTTACCTGTTCTACCTGAATGAGTTATTGAAAATAAATGCAACTATTTTATTTTTTTCCTTCCTCAGTTACTCAAAAGCAATACACAGGCCTTTGTCTTCTTGACTGAGGAAAAGGCAACTGTTATTGTTCTTTACTGTAAGAGCTGTACCTGGAGATTTTGTCCCAGAGCTGGCTAATTTGCCTGACTTCAGGAACACTGTCACACCAAAGAGCTAGTCCTAAGACTCTTCATGTACATCCTACCTTGGGGTGCTGCATGCTCTGAGCTGAACCCCAAACACAGCACATAACCATGCTGGCAACGAGCAGCTACCCCACAGACCACAAGAGCAGCCATGCGGCTTGAGATCAAAGGCTGTGCTTGCCACCCTGCAGGCAAGGAGTCCTCCTGGTTGCTAGGGCAAAGCCAGCCCAACACAGCTCCGAGGGCTCAGGGAGAAAAGCCACGACCCATCGCTCACTGCAGAGATGGCAGAAACATCACGGACTGGAGCGAGACCTCCTTCATGCATAAAACGCTGAGGACATAAATTACGGTGCTTTGCACAACTTCCCTCCTTCCCATGCCATGCTGACAGTAGTACTGCTATTTTGATTTTTTAAGGTGTTTTATGCCTGAGATAGCTGGGATCTGCCTGACATGGTATGGGAGGGGACTGCAGGGCATCCCTCACACGCACCTTTGTGAGCCGCTTCCTCCTCGGCTGTGATGTGACTTTTGCCCCCTGTGCCAACAGCATCCTTTGCCACGGTGGCACTTTTGCAGCAGATGGGTCAAGCCCATAGAGCCGGTTGCACTCCTCACACATGTAAAATGAAGGGGATGCTCACATTATTATGACTATAATTTTATTTGCATCCAACAGCTCCCTGCAACATTTTGTGCCTCTTCCACTATTTTAACCTTTATCGGATATTCAGAGCCTTTTTGGTGCTAACATCAGATGTCAGTCTAAACTGGAGATAGCCTGAAAAAAAGTGGCATGACTTCACACTGAACCTCACAGGCATGGAACATCTCCCACTATGAAAAATATACATGTATACATACATACATATCGATATACACTGACTTCGGTAACAATTTTTGAGGGGGCACTGCAGAAAGACAGAAGGACCCAGTTCTAATTGTGAGAAACAGCACTAACATCTATGGTGCTATGCCCATTTGCAGCAGCTCACACTTGTTTTCACTGGCTGAGCCTAGGAAGTGAGTTTCTTCTCTCTTGAAATGTTTCCTGCACAGAGGTTCACTAACAAACGGAACCCAGTGAAGAGATACAGGAGCTATATGCAACTCCATGGTCCCTTCCATGCTTCAGCAAACGGAGCACTACACACCTAACCAAGGGATGCAATTAAATTCTCTAAAAATCCACCATTCCACAGATGCATCTTCCTAGGAACGTCTCTGCAAACCACTTTTGAAAGAAGCCATCTTTTTCTCATTAACAATGAGGTGTGCTACAGATGCCTCAACTGACCCTCTTACTGCTGGGTGCTCTGTAATCACACAGCAAGGCAGTCAATGACCCATAATACCTACCCATGACAGACAATGCAGCAAAAAAGGTAAGAAATTGTCCTGTTTCCACAGCCCTCCTTGGGAAAAGGAATGAGTCTTCTACAGGCTGGAGGGAGGCTGCATGGTAGAAAGAAACACCCACCTTCAGCACTGGAAGAGCAAGGTCAGGGTAAGGATGCCCATCTTCGTTTCATGTGCCTTGAGATAAAGACAAGAGCAGTAGCACAGCAGCCCGCTCCTCCTTGATGCACACTGGGAACTAGGTGAACTGGCAAATTTAACTCCAAATGTTTTTGCTGTTTGGACTGTATGTTGCAATCCATGTTCATAGAGGGATCTACTACTGACACAAGGGACAGAAACTTCTTCTATTACAGAAATAGTCAGATCTGTCCTGTTTCTGAATCTGGTTTTACAACACCCTTAAACACCAGGTATCCCAAAACAGACTGCTCAGAAGCCAAACAAAGCTTAAGAAAATGGCTTCTCCAGGTACAAAGTAGAAAATTAAAGGAGAGGAAAAAAAAGAATGATGTTGCTCAGCTGCATAAAGGCAAAACCAGACATATCTGGAAAGCTTTCCCAACCTTTCACTTATTGCACTGATTTACCCCTTTCAGAACAGGGCTCTGAATACACACACCCGAAATGCTTTTGAGATGCATCTGCCATACTCATTACAAGCACCCACACAATCAAAATAGATATTAAATTGGTGCAATTATTTGGATTTTTCAAGAAGAGACAAACTGCTTAACTCATGGATCAAAAAAGAATGACAGAGTAAGGTCATATCAAGAAATGCCATCCCACTGTGTCCACAGTTTGGCATTTCTGTGCAGTCATTTAAAGTACTTTCATTTAAAAAGAAAAAAAAAATAATTCTCAACCAGCAAAACTCTACCAGCTCCACACTACCGCCTTCCCTTCCTTTCCCTTCCCTGGGGCTGCAAATAAAGGCTTCCCATAGTTAAAATTTCTGTGAAGAAATAATAAAGAGCCATGCTTATGAAAGGTCACCTGTCATGCTGTCCCAAGTTACCCTGCCATTCGCCAAATTGATGCACCCTTCTTAATCATCTCTAATTTTGGGAGGGGGCCTGCCTTGGATGCAGATGCGACCGTGCAGCGGCAGCAGGACACAAAGCCATCAGTGCTGTCAGCTGAACGACACAGCAGAGCTCTCTTCCCCACGCCACTTCAGCAGCAGCATCAGGTGGGGCTGCACTATCTCAACAGCTTCCTACTTTTTTCAGCCACCCCTGCTGCATTACCTTAAAGCAAAACTGATGTGACTCAGCCTCCACCTGGGGAGCACAGCCAGACCAACAGTTAGTTTGATGCAAGAGTCAGCATCAATAGGGCAGAAAAAGCTGGTTGCGCAAAGCAATTAAGTGAGAATTAATCATTACTACCTTAAAAAATTTCCCCCTCCACCCTCTTTCAAGCGCACAGCAGTCAGTGAGAAGCGGCAGCAGGGCTGAGTGGAAGAGTTGCACCAGGAACACAGGAGGTACCAGCTGTGTCCAGCAGCCACGCGTGGGTGCGCTTTCCATTTACACCGGCGCCAGAAGCACCCACCCTTCCACTGTGTCTGCATCTTTCCTTTCACAGGCACATCCTGCACAGGACCACCCCGTGCTCCCTGAGCTGTGCCTTTTGCTCAGCAGCTGAGCTGTTAAGCAGCGTGGCATAACTCCCATGCAGCCTGCATCCCATCTGACCACACAACACAGCAGAGGGAGAGTAGCATGGAACAAAACAAATGAAAACACCTTCCCTGAACTGGGAGTAGAGACACAGACCCAAACACACTGAAATTGGTGGGAATGACTGAGAACTTGGGTTAGCCCTAGCCGAGATCAGCTAGCTCTCACCATTTGCTCCCACTACCTCCGCAGCAGCAATAGTGGTCAGAGAATGACTAAAAACTGGTTGTAGCTCAATGCTGCCTTAGAGGCTCAGCCTGGAAACTGCGCAAACTCTGCAGGAATTTATAATCTGACTTCCAGTGGAAGCATATCAAAAAGGACCCATCATAACCTCACTGCCTTCCTCCCACGGCCTTTCCAACAGCGCAAGTGGAAGTGGTCCTGACACAAACCTTCCCGTGACCAGCTCTGGCACAGAGCACACAGCCCAGCCCCATCCACACAGTTCTGCTGCAATGGCACCAGCAACATGGTTTTACGCTTCACCCGAGTCTCACTATATTCATCCTGTGTCACCACTGAGCTGCGATGCCCCCATGGAAGCAGCTCCACTGGATGCTGTACACAAGGATGGAGTCTGTCTCTCTCTCCCCCTCTACCCCCTCCAACCTCTTTTATCATTTAAATAGATAGAACAGCTGAGAAAAGAAGGACTTTGTTGCAGAACAGCTCATAATTTCTGAAAGCACTTATACATTGTGGTTGTTTAACTTTAGATCCTCAAAACTTGGTTTAAACAGGTATGATGGTCTGCTCCCTCTGCCAAATTCATGAAAAAAAAAGCTGACTGTGTAAACTTCTGTTGATTTCGTAGGAAGCAGCCAAGGCACAACATCCAAAAATTGATGATTCTGTAATGGAGCCCATATCTCCTGACTCCAAGTTTCCTTATCTAATCAAGCATAGGTTGTAACATGGGGAGGGGTAGTTGCTGTTTGTGGCTTTTAAAACTCCTCCACAGAGAGCTCCATACCTTCACTCTCTATCTGTGTATAAAGCTGTGTTTACTACATGTGGCAGAGAGTATTTTGGTTACCTCCAGCCACTGGTCTAAAAAAAAAAAAAAAAAAAAAACAAACAAACAACAAAAAAAAAAAAACAAAAAAAAAAAAAAAAACCCAAAAAAAACAAAACCAGAAGCCCCCCCCCAAAAAAGGTGTTCAGTTTTCTCTAACAAGGTTGACATGTTTTCCTGGAGGCTTGTTTTTAATATTGAGATCAAAACGATAATGGTAGGGGTATGAACTGCTTCAAAGCCTAAAGGAGAAAAGGAGCAAATAGCTACTTTCCGTCCCACTTCATTGAGGAAGTTGCTACATGAAGCAAAGCAGAGCAGCACAGAAGAGACAGAGATAGAGGAAATGGAAAGGCCCGTTGCAAAATCATCTGTAGGAGAGGCAGCATGAAAAGGAGGTTTACCTGATTAGCACCACCATAGAGCTGTGTTTAAACGTGCAGGGGTTCTTCTGTGTGTCTGGGACATCAGATTGGGACTTGATAAGGTCCAGGCTCAACTCCCGGCTCTGCCACAGGCTTGCTTAAACCCATGCCACCTAGTTATTGTGCTTAGCCACGGTCTCTGTTGCCTGGTTTAAAATACAGTGAACAATTCTGCACTGCCCACCACAAACATCCACAGGGATGTCTGCATTAAAAAAAAAAAAAAAAAAAATCTACTGCAGCCGTTGTCCTCAGATGAGGACAGGAACTGAAAAAATGTAGCAGGCAGTAAAATACACCGTAAGGGTCTACGAGCCTGGCAGAAGTCACTGGTGTGCAATAAAACGTATGAGATTGAGCACACAACTGTGCCACTGCAGCAGGGGGACATGATGGATAAGGAGGGTAGGAGACCAGTCTGATGCCCTATTTGATACACACAGAGGAGTAAAAGCGACCATCCAATATCACATCCGCAACACACCCAAAATAGGCTGCCTTCCTCCACACGTTTCTGTGCTTCAATGCAGATGGGTCACATCGCAGTGACGCCTGCACAAAACTCGCCCCTCACAACCTATTTCCTCAGCTGACAAGAAGCAGACGTGAGGTCTTATCTCCTCAGTGGGCACGACTCTGGCTGGTGCGGAGGGAGGCTGGTGGCTGCGGTTACACATCTGCACCCAGGTTTCATCCCTGCAGGTTTCATCTCCATCCACTTCAGGGCTACGCACCTTTCAACGCCCTCAGCGTTGAATAACTTCATGCCCCCAAGCACCATAAACTTCTACAACCGCAGTAACTCACAGATGGGTATGGATGGTTATAAAATCCTGTCCTAAATTAGGACAGCAAGAAGCTGAGATTGGAATAGTAGGAGGAAGTCAGGAAATCCCAGGAGAAAATGATGGGGGAGGGATTTAGTCTCTTTAAAAAACAATAATACAGTTTAATCTATTTTTCTTTTGACTTTCCACACTAAACTAAGCTTCTCAGCTTCTGGGGCTGTCACAAATCGTAATGAAAATAAGGCCACTGGAACTCCGTCAGTAGAATAAGAGCTATATAGTAATAATCCTGAGGAGCTGCACAGGGCTTTCCATCTTCAAAGTGTTTTATAGACAGTAATTTATTAATCTGCAAATTTCCCCTGGCCATAAGTAACTGCTCTGCCTCTCTGCTAATCATGAGACACACATGCAGCGCAGATCAGCACTCAGGAGAGATGGTGCAGGCGGCAGCTCTGACCTCTGGAGCCAGACCTCGGTTTCTGCTCACTGTGGTCAGAATTTCGCTGCTCCAGCCACCACCTCAATGCAGAAGCGCTGGTGACATCTGGCACTCTGGAACCAACTTCTGAGGGGACAAAACCAGTGCCTGAGAGCCTCTGGTATGGGGAAGTGCTCACAATTCAGTAAATAACAGCAAAGCCTGAAATAAAACTCCCAGGACAGAGGCTCCCGGCTACCTTACAGTCCCTGCCTGGCACGCCGGGCTGTCACTCTGGGCAGAAGCTGGTCCCAGTCCTGGGCTCATCCTACCACACAGCCTGTCTGATAGCCCCCAAGGGAGCTGTCAGAGGAACTTCCTATGCAAACATGATACTTCCTCCCACCAAAGGGCTATTTATGCCCATCAGTTACCTGTTCGCACTAGGTGGGTCCTTTAGGTAATCAGCATGAGGCTGCTCCTCCTCTCCTGGCAGCAATATTCTTCTGATTTTCTAATTCCCCAAGACAGTACTACTAACCGTGATCCTCTCCCCAGCCCTCACCCTGCAAAATCTGGGAGCTCTTGGAAAATGAAAATGCAAGCCTGGTTAGGAGAGAGAAAAAAATGGAACAAGGAGTACAATTACAACTACATCTTCTAAATAAGTCAGTATCTAACATAGGCCAGCTTTGTTTGAAAGCAAGAAGATAACACTATTCTGTATTCATACTGGCTGTTGTGTTCTTTGTCTGACTGGCTTTTCATCTCTTTTAAGCCAGTGTATATTTATATGACTTCAGTAGGGCCAAAGAAATCATTGTAAGACCAAAACTGGGTTCATTGTTTCTTGCTATCCTTCTCTGGGTATCAGAACATCTGGGTTCATTAAGCATCCTACAACACAAGCATAGAGATCTAAGCCTTATTTCCATCTTAAGAATGGCTTAGCTGAGGCAAGGAAAGCAGAAGAAAAAGCAGAAAACCTGAAGTACCATTGCAAACAATGTCCCAAAGGTCATGGGTAAGGAATTCATACCCAGGCACCGCAGATCATGTATATTCTCAAGACCAGGAGAGATTTGCCCACGCACGCAGAATGAGTAGCAGACTCGGGCACAAATTCAGTCTCAGACTCCAAGTCTTTTACTCTACAGTACTCAGATCACATTTCTTTCTTCTTCTAGCTTGCGGCTCCCTTTCAGCAAATGATTTTGTTTCAGCACCAGCCTCCATACATAGCAGAAACAGCAGAGCTCAAAGAACAGATGTTAGTGCTGCAGTGCTGTTGGCAAAATTTTGGGGGGAAAATAAAGTTTGTGGATTTGTCTCTCCAGTAAGAAGTCGGGTGAAGTACAATGCTGAAGCTCTCTGACACACTGCCAGGAAGACTGTCAGCCATAATGGCTAAATTGGATGGAAAGGCAGTCTGCATTATAGCTGGAGCAGTGCTGGTGTTTTTTAGCTGAAATTTAGTAAGAATTGACCCTCCCATCCCTCCCTGTAAGCTCAGTGAGCTTGGGACTCAGCAGAGCTGATACCCCCTGGCTTGGACAGTCCCCAGTCAGTGTTGCTGGTTGATCATGTTGCTCCCAGGGAAGGCCTGCAGAGCAGGGAGGAAAAGTAGCAGCAAACCGCGACAGGACTCCTGCCCCTGCCTCCAGCCTTCCCCAGCCCCCTGACAGCCTGGGCTGGAGAGAGACCTCGTCCCGACAATACAGCATTACATTACTATTATTGCAAAGCGCAGAAAAAGACCCAACTGAAATGACAAATCCCTACAAAGTCACATACCTTAAATAGCCCAGGAGCCAGGTTCCCCAGTGAGAGCTACCCATCTCCATGGCCTTGCCTGGCATTAGGAGACCACTGGGGAAACTGCACACTGTGTGCAGCCCTCCTGTGTTCACGCTGGATAACCTCTGCTCTGCTCCCCACTCTGAGAATAAAAAGCAAGCCCAAATGCTGTAACAGTACTAGAGTAGGTCTGGTCTCCCACACTAATCTGTGTTTATGACTTTTCAAGGGTGAAACGAGCTCCAGTTGCCTCTTGGTGCCAGTCTCAGGAAACCCTGCAGTGTAACAGAGGGCTGCACAGACGGCTGCCCCTCCATCCAAGTACAAACAGCCATCCAAGCCCATCATGAATAACAGAAGACATTTTGACAGTCCAAAGTGGTTTATGATGTCCATGGAAAAAAAAAAGGGAGCTCTGAACTGAAAAGTGGGTCTGTTACCCACAGACCTGCAGAAAAATTAAATGCATACACTACCGTGGATTTGCAGAAAAAACGTATTTTAATTGATCATGTGTCCTATGCATCACTCTAACACTTATATTCTTGCAGCACTATACAAGGTCTCTAACCATCTTGTACAGAAAACTTCTGCTAAAGAAGGAATATTTAAAGAGCACTAAACACCTCACAGAAATACATGGTGGGTTCTGCCAAATCAATTGACATGAGCCTGCGTGACCCAAATGCCAGGGTGCTCATTTCACAGCTCCCAAGTGACAGTCTCAGCTTTTAGAGTTGCTCTAACATTTCCTGGGCAATCCTGATTCAATTGTACCTACCTCCCATTTCTGAAAAAGCCCGAGATGACTGCACGTGGGGTGTTGTAATGCTGCCTCAGCAGGAGGAGGATATTGCGTTGGTGGAGAGCAGAACAGCACGTCCAGAAGCACAAGCAAAGCAGGGATTTTCCCAGCTAGCAGCAGCAATCCACATCTCTGGGTCCCTTCTTCCCCTCGCACTTCTACTGCCTAGAGCTTAGTAGAGGGGACCTGGGCCATATATTCTTTCTCCTTTGCTGTTTCCCCATTGTTCATCCCTTCCACCAGGCCCCCGTTAGCCAGGATGGGACATCCCCTGCTGAAGACGCCAGCCTACTGAGGAATGCCTGCAAGCCCTTGGGCAATCCGAGGAGAAAAGCCTCCAAGCCTTCAGCCTCTGTGATGAACCCTGTACTGAGGTGTGTGTTGTGATTCTGGCCCCGATAATTCATCATGGTCCAAGAGATAATGATGCAAGAGCTGTTCATCTGCTCAGAGTATTATAACCACTTGTTTTTCCAGTGCTGCAGAGGGGCAAAGACTTATGGCAGAACTTGCCAATCCCCTGTACAGCCCTTATTTCTGAACATTTCCCCCTATAAAGCCAGCGCCTGTTCTTTCCTCCCTCCCCCTTTCCACACATCTCCTGCAAATCATGCTGTCTCCTTCCACCCCCAAATAGGAAGTCCAGAGCCGAGACGCACACAATCTGCCTCTTCACAAGAGCTGGGCTGAACGTGTGCCAGAGGAGCTGTGAGCATGACAACATATTTCCTGTCAGGAAAGTGACTCAGTGAGATGGGTATGAGAGATCCTCTTACTCGAGAAGTTCCCCTCGCCCTTTGCGTTGCTGAGGCATGAGTCAGAATTTGAGAGCCGGAATCTCAACCCCCTCCGGATCCAACCAGGAAGGGCAGAGTTCAGGTTCAAGCCCAGGTCCTGCTTGCAACTCAGTGACAAGTCAGCACCACATGCCGACCCCTAGTTTTACCCCTCACAGAAGGGGAATAGCAATACTGACCGAGTGGGCAGCCTGAATTTGTGAAGCACTTTTAGGTCGAGGTGGTGCTTATTGCTATTTACTAATGTACCTGTTTACACCATGCTCATAACCTCTACACATGAGCATTATACAATACCCACACAGAACTAACATCTTGTTCATGCATTTTGCTAAAGTATTTTATGAATGACCATTTCATCCAGGAATACTGTAAATGCTAAAAAAAAAAAATAAAAAAAAAAAAAATCACTGCAGCCAGTTTTCTTTCTCCGGCCTCAGATAAGCTTTTCCCACAATAAGCAGGCAGACCCATTGCCCGCCATGTCCTTACCCGAGCTGCGGCCAAGGGTGACCATGCACAGCCAGAGCGTAGCCAGCAAGGCACCAACCATCTTCATCCTGCTGAGAAAAAAAAAGCAGAGAGAGAGGTTCTGGTTATTTTACACTATTTCATCACTGCAGACACTTTTTTTAACTCTGAGGATATGTGTTTATTCCTCCGCCCACCCAGTGATCCTTTAATTCTGGTATGTTCTTTTTTTATTTCACTAAGATTCATTAAGAACAACAGCATCTGTGTGGCAGTGTCATTCTGCCTGCAGGCAGCTGCATGAGCTCTCCAAGCCTGGGAGGCAGTGGCTCAGAAGAGGACAGCCCAGCTCATTGACTTAGTCTATATCCGTGAGCACAAGGAGTAAGCTAGATGCTCTCAGGCTAGAAATCCCAAGCTTTGACTCCCAAAACACCAAGGTCCTTTGCCAAGACCTCATTTTGCTCATTTCTAAGAACAAGTGCAGAAAGCACTCTCAATGGCAAGGGGTGGCTGGAGCACATTTGCACTGAACATGCGTCTAATGGTTCGGCCTGACAACCACGCTGGTGCAGTCTGAATTTGCAAGGTCTGATGCTGGTGACCTGTGAAAAGGCTGGCTGCCAGTCCTGACTGCTCCATCCCATTCCTGCAGGCAGGTCAAGGCAGGGCAAGGCTCCAGCAGCTCTTTCCAGTCAAATCCTCCTTGGAACAGCCACCTCGCAGGAGTAAACAAGCACCAGGTTTGTACATTTTTCAGAAATTATCTGAACAAAGGTTTATATTTTCAAAATGGCACTCATAGGCAAAAAACAATCCCAGACTTCTCCATTCCCACTACAGAGCACAATTTCCTGTAATTTGAGATAAATGTACACTGCCAGAGTTTCACTTGCCGCCTGCTCCAGTATCTGGCATTCAGCTCTCAGAGCTGTTCGCTCACTGGAATTAAATTTCCCTGTGTTTCTAGGTTTTTCAGGATGAAACTTATAAGCTGGTAGTCACGAAAGCTGACATTTACTAGATGTTCTCATTAATGGGGCAAAGGTTGCATTTGATATTCCTGGGTGCTGTCAGATCACAAAGGGAGAAGAGGTGGTTAAAAGGCCGAACTTCAAAGCATCTCAGCTCTGCCAGGCAGATGCAGTAATGAGCATAGTGATACTGTCAGGAGCACACTCACGAGATGACAGGGAAATCTCATCCATCAGGGTGGGCTGAAAGGGTGGGGAGAGAAGCCACAGAGCTCCCTTAAACACATGCCTCATAACCTGTCCATAATATATGCATTACATGGAAGGGTTTCGAGCATAAAAGCAGGCAGCACCTAAGATTGTACAGATTGCAGAGATTAACAAGAATGGGACGTGTGAACTGTACTACTCAAAATCCAGCAGCGGATATTGAATCCTTCCTTTTCAATGCTTGCATCTGAAAAGCCTTTGTACGATGCTTTCCCTCTGCTGGGCTCATCTCAGAGAGACAAAGGAAATCTGAAGCAAGCGTGCTCTTCACCACACAGTCCACGCCAAGGGCTACAGACTGCCTCAGAAGCCGTAAGGCCTTCAGAAATGGGCAAGAAGCTGGGAAGATGAGTTTTCTTCCCTGGGGTCCAGCTGAGAGGGCTGGTTGTCCCCTACCTCTTTCATCCAAACTGAAATGGCAGCGGCTGATCAAACCCTTCTCTATTGCCACCTACAACCAGCTCCCAATGTCACCTAAGAAGCCTCCATAGGGAGGAAACAAAATTAAGTATCCTACCCTCTGGAAATGCTGAAGGAAGATAAAACATCTTTACACCATCAGATTGGACCTTTGGGCAGGAATTTAGGAACTTTTGGGAATTCAGATGCTGGAAGAGAAGAAGTATAAACAGTGGGGGGGGATCATTCCCATAATAAAGATCCACCATTGTTCCCTCTCCATTTGTCATTAGATAAATGCACAGCGTGTCCTAACTCACCCCTATTTTCCAGTGATTCTCTCCTGTATTTTGCACAAATCAAGACTGAATTCAGCCCTGAAGCAAGCAGTAACAACTACTGAGTTTGGAAGAGTTTCTCTGGTTTAGATCAAGGCCATTTATTTGGCCTGAGGCCAAAATAAGCTACTACCTTTCACTCAGTTGATACCTGAACTCTGCAGCAAGCTAATATTTACATCCATTAACTATGCTCACAGGAGCATACTCCTTTCAACTCCCTCAAAGAGCCACCAGGTCTCTGTTCCCATGAGCAAGGTATCTAAGATTTCCATGCTCTGCCTGCTAGTAGGAAATGTCTTGTTTCTCGCTCTACCCAGCTATAAAATCAGAAGTCCTACAGTGTGATTTACTTCTGGTTCATTCCAGGCTCTCCAGAGATCTTATCAGTGGAGACAGACAGACACAGAGCCTGTTGGATAACAGCAATTTCTCCATTACGGGAATGGGGCTCCGTTGACCACAGCCCTGGCTGCTCTCACACTATACAAAATACAAGAGGCCATGAAAGGCATGTGCACAGAGTCAAAGGCTGGTCAAGGGGAGCCATCACAACCTCCTGGATGCCCTGACCATGCCAACGTTTGCCAGCTGAGATGAAGGAAGAGGATTCCTCCCCTTTGGTAAAGAAATGGAGAGCTCATACACACAATGAAGAAGATAAAGGGGACTGAAGGGCAGGATGGCTTCTGCAGTCCAGCTCCATGCCTCTGGCACATGATTATTTAAAAAAAAAAAAATATATATATATATATCAGTTAATACCACAGGATCTGATGGTCTATACTTCTAACACAGCACAGGGACCAATTCTTGTGTACTAGGGCAGCTATCACTGTGATGCTTTAAATGTCCCAAAATCTGTGATATACCCCAAAGAGTCTTCCCACTGCAGTCCTGTGGTCTCACAATGTCATCATTTCTCCCCAGGGAGGATAACGTGATTCTGCCAGTGACACCAGGAAAAGAACATTGTGTCCCTTCAGTTGCAGAGAGAGAAGGTGGGTTTTGCAATGCTGTAACAACCTGATGCCACAAGAGTACAACCCACCCGGGGTTTTGCCAGGAACAGAAGAGCTTTCTCAGCCTTTTCTGGCAACCTGCTGCTTTGTTTCATGACATCAGAAAGCATGTTGCCATTTTGCCTGTATATGATGCAATTACAGTGGTGCCTGATTCAGTTCTTGCACAGTTCGGTACCGCTGCACTGAAACACTAGCATCTCTGGCTGCAACCGAAGGCACCAGAGGTCAGAAAGTACAAAACCCAGGCTGCAGTGGACACGTTCACCCAATCGCACCCACCCAAAAAGGTCACAGACCTCACATCTAGTACACAAGCAAATGAAATAAAAAGCAAACCCTAAAGGGAGCCAGGAATAAAATCAGTGAGCAGAAGAGCGTACCAGCTCAGATATCACACCACAGCTAGAAAGCAGGTAATCAGAGCAGCCAGAAGAAGGCTGGAGAGCTCTGATACATCCTCAGCACTCCAGGAACTTCTCACGAGACCAATATACTCCAAGGTGTTCTTAATGTCTCCATAAATTAACATTTTAATAATAATAATAATTCATAGAGCAGTTGGGGAAAACAATCCATCACTGCTGTTGCTAGAATATTTTTTTAAGGAACCTACTTGAAATGTTAGTTTTGTTTCAAATCAGAAACTGTTTCCTTTTCATTCCTGAGCATTTTCTCCTTCAAATTTTCACCTTTTGTCTACTGGGGAGCAAAAGAAAGTGGGCTGGGGGAAACACAGTCATGGAAGTCTCTCCTGTTCTTAAAAGCAGAGGTGGTGTAAAGGTTTGGCTTTTCATTTGATACTGGCCAGAAGTGTCTTTTATGTCAGAAAAAACATAAATATTTTCATATAAAACACCATTCCCAAATAGACTTAGGCAAGGAATCGTTCAGTCCTGCCTTTAGCAGCATGGACCCTGCAAAGCCTACATGCTTTCCAAACAATTATAAAACCCAAGACAGGTGTCAAATAATTAATGAAGAAAGCTGCACTCAAAGTAACTGCTGTACACTTGTTCTCAAAGACACTGTACCAATTCTACAGAACACTGCTGCATTTTCCAAGAAAACGCCTTTGTCCTTCCTAACCACAGGCACCTAGGGAGACCTGACAGGTTTTTGCTTTTCACTGAGAAGTCACACTACGACATGCAGAACAAAAGTACCCTTCAAAACCTTGCCACTAAGTGCTGCAGCTGAAAGGGCATTTAAAATACAGCAGTTTCAGAAACAAGAAAAAAAAAAAAAACACAGGCCAGATCAGGTTTTACATAGTATTTTCTCCCTGTAATTCTGTTCCGAGACTTCTCTGAGTCAAAAACATTTAAAAGGACAGGACTGGCTCTAGGAAAAGGGATGCACATACGGGAATGTTAGCAAAAACCAGGGTGGGCTAGCTTAAGAAATGCTATGCTTTTATGCCACATGGATTTGGGGCAGAAGGCTGATGGGCTGCAAAGCAGGGCTGGTGCTCAGGAGAGGGACACAGCCTCTCTGCTCCCACATCACTGTGTGCCCACAAGCCCTGCATCAACACACAGCAGCACTGGAGAAGGCTGCTCAATGAGTTTGCTGGGTTTTCTTATGGGGAAAAATCAATGTACAGTCCAAGTAAATTCAAAGAATCCAAAAGGCAGACAAAGGGCAGCCTGCAAAAGCAGCTGCTGAAAAGTAATAGCAAAAACACTAATGGAAAGTGGGAAAAGGCCCTTCAGCCCTCCGGGAAACACTTTTGCTTTTCAGTATGTACAAGAGTAAGTCAGACAAAGGAGGAAATTACTGTAGCATAAACCATCTTGGTGCCACTTAGCCAGGATTTGCCCAGCACCTCTCTGACCCTTCCTCTGCTCTGGAGGCCATTTGGGCACAGCACCACACCGCCCTTTGCTACAGCATCGGCCGTTCCACTCGTACCCCTGCCCGAAGCAGAGCCACTCCTGCAGCGAGCTGGCCAGTCCTGCCGACAGCCCTCCCGAGCAACGGAGCATTACACCAAAATCCCTGGAGACATGGGTAGTAAGACACACAATGGGTTTTGGAAGTCCAGCCTTTTCTCCCCAGGAGGAATTAGCACAATCATTAAAATTTT